AGAATAGTCTTCATGTTGATAAAACTGTACTTACACTGTCAACTGCTAAGATTTTTGCCCAGATAAAAACAAGAAGAGGACGCAGCTCCCTGGCTGAACTTTGTAAAAGTTTTAAAACATATGGAAAAATGCCAACAGACAGTGCCTGAAAAAAGAACATTGAAATAGCTATTGATAGTGTACCAAAGTGAATAACGTCACAAAATTATTTTTTTAGAGCTTTAAGATTTTGGTGGCATTATCAGAAACTGTATTTAAGAACAGGATACAGATGTGGAATTTCAAAGCGGTAGAGCACAAAACAGCTGAGATATACCTGTAGCTCATTTAATATAAAAATATCTTATGTGATTGGATCCAGTGCAAAATAAGAGAAAATTTTGGGGATTTTTGGAGATTAAAGTGTACAATATTTCCATTTTTACTGTTCACAACAACCTTAAAGTTCAGAAATGTAGCCAATATTACGGTGTTTGTTTTTTAAATATGAGCATTTCAAAATTGAATTAAGCAAGATATGGAATTTGATGATGTCACATTTCAGTGCTCTACAGTAAAAACCCGCGTATAAGAACCTAGATTTTTTCAAGTTAGCCTAAACAGGTTCTTATATAAATGGTATTTAGTGTTAAATTAGGCTAACTAGGTTCTTAATTAGGTTCTTAACTTTTGTTCAAGAAATAAAATAAAGTTTCATTTTAAGTTAGATTTTTTTACAGTAACCATGTACAGTTATAGTGTTTATAGCATTATTGTGTACAGACTGCGTTATAAAGATATTTTTGAAAAGATTGATTCTATTTTTTTTTCTTTTTTAAAAATAAGAACCTGTTTAAGGATTTTAGCCTAAAATGGTTCTAATGTGAAGGGTGCTTAAAAATGAAATATTAGCCTAACAGGTTCTTAATTTTAGGGTCTTATACGTGGGTTTTTACTGTATTCGAAAGCCTTCAAAAAACCAGAACACTTACCAAGTTGACAGCCCAAGGACCCAGATCTAAAAAGCGTCCTAACAAATCTAATGCTCTAAGCCGATGAACCTGACTCAGAAGCACTTGAAGCACTATGGGTAGCTGTTCAGGGGGGTCTCTACTCTCTGAACCCATTGCAAGCCAGACTTGGAAGGCCAGAAGTTGTTGAGAAAAGAATTGACTATGCTAGAAGATAATATTTATATCTTTATTAATTATCAATAACATTGATAATATTATTAGCCTTCATAAATATGCTCACAAAGGCAAAGGAAATGAATCAAAGGTGGTGTAGGGGAAGTACACTCCCATCTCACCTCTTGGGTTTGATTTCTGGACTCAGCATCACATAGGAGTAGAGTTTGCTGGGTGGCTCTTTTGAATATAGGGGTTTCTCTGGGTTTTATCATGGTTTAATATTATTTTAGTTGTTTTATTACTAACCGTAAAGTTAGCAGGATTTTCAATGACTTCTGGTAGTTGAGACAAACAAAGATCCACTGCCAAATCCCAAGCTTGCCTGCAAAAATACCATCATCATCATTATCATCATCATTATCATCATCACCACCACCATCATCATCATTATCATCATCATCACCACTATCAGTATCATCTTCATCATCATCATCTTCACATCATCACCACATCATCATCACCACCACCACCATCATCATCACTATCATCATCACCACCATTATCAGTATCATCTTCATTATCATTATGATCATCACCATCATCATCATCACCAACATCATCATCACCATTGTAATCATCACCTTCACTATCAATACCACCACCATCATCACCATTATCATCACCATCATCACCATCACATCATCACCATAATCATCATCACATCATCATAATCATCATCACATTATAATCATCATCACATCATCATCATCACCATAATCATCATCACATCATCATCATCACCATAATCATCATCACATTATAATCATCACATCATCATCATCACCATAATCATCATCACATNCATCACCATAATCATCATCACATTATAATCATCACATCATCATCATCACCATAATCATCATCACATTATAATCATCACATCATCATCATCACCATCATCACATTATAATCATCACATCATCATCATCGCCATAATCATCATCACATTATAATCATCATCACATCATCATCATCATCACCATAATCATCATCACATTATAATCATCACATCATCATCATCACCATAATCATCATCACATTATAATCATCATCATCATCACCATAATCATCATCACCATCACATCATCATCTCCATCATCATAATCATCATCATCTTCACATCATCATCATCACATCATCATCATTATAATCAAGCAATATATTTCACATTATCAACTATACCTACCACATATGGTGCATGTATGTTGGTGGCAGTTGTGGGCTGGAGACTGGAGTACAGTTATATGACCTCATCACACGCTCAGCCAGAAGAAAGTTTCTGAACAAACTTGCTACAAGTAAATCTTGTCGGAAAAGCCTATGAAATAAATCTATAAAAAAACAGAAACAAAGTTTGACATAATTTTCCAATATTATAGTTTTGCCAGTGTGGGCTAGCTGTGGACACAGAAAGCCCAACCAGCCAAGAAAGTATTGCATCAAGTTTCAAGATGCATTACATGTACTACATTTTTTTGTCTTTTAGGAAAACAATGTGTAGCTGAAAGGGAACTTTGGAAAAAGTCCGAGTTTCTTTAAGGATTAGACTTCTTTAGCTTATTTATTTTCTTTAGCTTGTGCATAATGTTTTACGTGTCATTCCCTTGAATATGTTCTTTTTTGTTTAACAGTTGAATGCACATGAGAAAACACATGAATGTAAATACAACTCAAACAAAGAATCTTATTCTCAATAGAATGACAAATGGACAGAAATGGGAAAACATTACGCCCAAGCTTGAGAGATCTTTTAAATATTTCATTAATCCTAAACATTCTTCAAAATAATAATAATAATAATAATAATAATACAGTAATTGAAAATAATTCTAGTTTCTTGCCTCTCGGTAACATGTTCCAAGCTATAGTGTCTGTCACAGCAGTAAATATCCAATTCAGTTCACCAAGAGGTGTCCGTCTGTCATTTAAACGGCCAGGAATTCTAGAGAAAAATATATAAAGTTTAACATCTTAGTATTACTACATGTATTACTTACAGTCAGTTTTGTATGACAATTGAAGTCATTGATATCGCAAACATCATTGATGGTTATCAATGTAATTAGGCAGCTATATAATTAATAGGTAATGGGATTTCATGCTCCCCAATCAAGAAATAATTAGACTTGAAAAATTCCTCTGTCTGCCAAATAGGACTCAGCCAATTTTGGAAGTCCTCAGAATTTCCCTCGTCCAATTATTTCTTAATTGGACAGCATGTAGTCTTATTACATATACTTATTAATGAAGAATTAAGTAATATTTATTGATAAGTATAATTTTAGACTTGAGTATAGAGTTTTGCTCAATTTTATTGGTCAAGCGCAGTGATTATATTATTTACCTCACTGCTCTAAGACTCACAGCTTGGTTAATATTCCCAGATATTCACTTTGTCTTTGGCGAATAATGGTTAAATAAAAAAATTTCAATCTTTGACTTACTTTTCAATCAACTCTAATGTAACTCCTGGGACTAATTTGCTACTATTTTGACTGCAAAACCTGCAAGATAAAGAAGAATACCTTGACTTTTTAGTTCTTGTAACAATGCTAATGATCTGTGAAGCTGTCATTATTATCATCATCGTTACCACATTTATTGTCACCACCATCATTACCATCAGTATTATCATCACCACCACCACTATCATCATCACCATCATCATCACCATCATCACCATTATCATCACCATTATCATCATCATCACCACCATTATCATCATCATCACCATAATCACCATCACCATCATCATCATCATCACCACCCTTATCATCACCACCATCATCATCATCGCCATCACCATTATCATCACCATCATCATCATCACCATCATCACTGCCCTCATGATCATTACTGAAATCATCAACGATGCATGCACCTTGTACAGTTACCATTTATTTATTAAATGTTGTTAAAAAACTCACCATCTTAAAGCGACCTTTATGGGTGTCGTAAGACAAGCTGTGAACAAATCAGCAGGTAGTTCAGGGTTCATTGGAAGCAGTTGACTTGCACCACATGCAGCTAACTGGATACAGTTTTTAGTTGAATTTGGTTTTGGTATGTGAGTTCCTTGAGCTAAGGATCGCTAAAAGAGATTAAAAATGAAAGCAGAATTATATATAAAACATGCATTGTTATATACATTTTGCTTGCTATATCTTGCCACTGATTGGCTGAGAACATTCAGCCTATCCACAATATTGTGTGAACTTGACATGTTAAATGTATTATTGGTAGGTTTTTCTGTAAATACATTTATCATGTCAAGTTTACTAAGGTCACAATGGAGATTGAAATATGGTTGCTATTTCTTTGAAAACAGAATATAATATTAAATTTTATTCTTAGTTTACAAAATGAAGAAATAGAAAACACGTGCGTGCTGTGGGCAGTTATAATGCACGCGGGGGTTGGCAGAACACGAGAGAAGTGTTAGGAGAAGCATGACGCGTAGCAGATAAAATACAATATAAATGACGAATATAAAATACAAATTACATAAATGAAGAAATTGAAAGTGCACGCGCATGCTGTGTGCTCTCTGTGAGCATGCACTCCCAACCAATCAGAACGCGAGATTTAGAGCAGTTATTTTATAATGTATAATAAAACAATTAGTGAATTTGGTTTTTGCATGACATCATAAATTTTCAAGACCCTAGCCTTTTTATACACCTCAGCCTACGGTTTCGACAGATAATACAGCCCTGGTCATGATAATTTACAATATCACACTCAACCTCATCCAATAATGTCATATATTAATTTCTTGTACCTCATGTTCGTCTTCTCTTGTTGTGGAAAATTTATTAAAACATTGTAAAATTAGTCCAGCATTATTGCAGTCATAAACAAAGATAGATGGACTACCCATCCATGTCTGGAGGTCATAGATGGACAGTGGTATATACTGGGTGTAAGTCTGCAATAGATTGATAAATACATAAAAGAATTAACCAATAAACCTTGACAGTAAGATATAAAATATTTGATAAAAGGTCCTCTCAGTAATATGCTTTTTATCCCCAGCTTTTGAAAATACAGCCAATCAGAATGCAGAAAGCTGTTGACTGTATATTCAGCACTATTGCACTATTCCTCCCCATCAGGCATTGTGGCCTAGGTATTTTCAATAATGTGGGATCGAATAGTTATATGATGCTTTCTCTAAGTATAACATATTCAACTTGTCGCTAGTATATTCTTGTATACTCGCTCACCTAAAGGCTTATGAGTATGTTAGAAAATACAAGTACTTCATTGAACCAATTAGCAATACTACTGTACCAAGTTAACTGGAGGATACTGCAGGGCTTGAAATAGCGACCTGCCAATAGCCGAATGACAGACCAAATTTCAGGTTTGCCAGGCAAAAATAACGATGAAATGCCAAATGAATAATAAAATGGCATGCAAAATTTACTGGAATGACTTCCTTTTACAATGCTCCTTTACTATGGCAGGCTGGAAAAAATATCTATTTCAAGCCCTGTACTGTATTCACATACACCAAATCAAAATATGGGGACCAGTTTCAATAACTATTGTTCTCAATGACTAATGAGCATCGTGTCCACGTGGAAATATTAAAGCCTTTTTACATGTATGAGAGGCTAGTCTGTGCAGAACAATAGTAATTCAAATTGGTTACTATATTTTGATTTGGTGTATAAATTGTACCTCCAAGTTGATAATAATAAACTTTTAACAGTATACAAGACATATACCTTCGTAGTTTACCTTATTAAAAACCCATATTTCTCCGTTATTTGTCGGTCTGGGGACTCCATGTCCATTGTAATGAAATAGAACTCTCTCCTCCTGAAAAAAAAAGATTATCATAATTGATTATTATTATTATTCTCAGTCATCACCTTACTCTACATCAACATCATGGATCATCGTTATCATCATCACCCTCATTGTCATCACCATCATCTTGCATCATCAAAAATCATCATGTCAGCATTATACATCATCATCACCATCATGCTATCATGCATCATCATCAACGTCATTATGCATCATCAAAATCATCATACATTAGTGTCAACATCACGGCTATTATGAATCATCATCATGATTATCATTACCATCATCATCATCAATTCACCTTTTCGGTGCTAGCTATCTCGGGGTATAAATTGTTTTAGATTGTGTTACGGTCATCAAAAAGTTCGGACAACGTTCTCGAATTTCCGTACAAATGTACTTACTCTAAATGAACTATTCACTTGGTTAATGTTTAGTTAAGAACATGCGTAATAAGTAAATTACGAGCCTTAGATGAATGTTTAGTTAGTTCTCTAAATACAAGTAAATAATCATTTTTCTAGCTTGATTGAAGTTTTTCTTACTGCTGTTAAGATAGCTAACTAAAGAAATCTACCTAAATTTTCTCTTTAAAGTCAGTGAATTTGTATGGAAATCTAAGAACGATGTCTGAACATTTTGGTGACCGTAACACAATCTAAGCTAGCACCGAAAAGGTGAATTCGAATCATCATCAGATTTATAGACTGAGAAAAACCAAAAATCCTAAGGGGAAAAACTTAATCATGACATTTCCAAAAAGAAAGTCTAAAGCACCAGGTATTCCCAGATGGTCACCCATCCAAGTACTAACCTGGCCCTACCGGGCTTGACTAAAATCCTAAGGGGAAAAACTTAATCATGACATTTCCAAAGATTGAACCAATCAATACCTTAGCATTTCTACGTAGCGAGGAGCAAAGTTTCTTCACATCTTCTACTGTTGGGTCCAAACTTTGTTTATACCTTGCCTGAAAAAAATAATGATCACTTATCAAATATTCTTGCTAAATTAAGGTACTTATTATTTTGGTTGCCATAACAAAAGACAATAAATAATAAAGAAAAATAGTCTTACCTGCCGCCATTCTTAGTGTCATCACAAATCGCTCCCTCCCTAATATAATGGCTGCTTGCATTCAAACAACACTCCTTTCCCAGGGTCCGAAATTAGCTTTTGTTCTAATGAAAGCAGCCGTTACAACACTAAGAGTGCCTGTGGCAGAGACTATTAGAAAAACTATTATAGGATGCAAGTGGTATAAACAGTATGAAAAAATATGTCCAGCTCAAGAACTATTTTTTGGGTCAAAAATAATGTTTTCATTCCAGAACAATAGTTTTTTAAAATTGCTTGAAATACTGTACTTTGATTTGGTGTGTGCAAGTGTGAGCTATAATGAATACAGGGCTTAAAATAACGGCTGCTCAGTGGCCAGATACGATAACCAACAGCATTAGACTCTTCAACATCTGACCAGTCAATGTCACTGCAAAACTGTACTTTGATTTGGTGTATGCTAGTGTAAACTATAATGAATACAGGGCTTAAAATAACGGCTGCTCAATGGCCAGACATGATAACCCACCACATTAGACTTATTCAACATCTGACCAGTCAATGTCACTGGTCAAGAGGATTGGCCTAACAGGTGTTTGACCAGAAAATGCCAGTTTTGACCAGACATGACCTATTGACCTGCCGTTATATTTAGCTGCATGAATAGCACATACCCGTGGCTGCCATCGTTCATATTGCTCTTGCAGTTTGTTTCCGATAGTCTCAAGTGCTTTACTTGGATTAAGAGACAATGGATCTGTGAATATAGAAACAAGTAAGTCGTAAGATACTATTCACGACTAGATATAGAGTCAATCTTAAAGTTACTAGGTTTTTAGGTCTTGTCCTCATTTGAGGGGTTTTCTTTGGGTTCTCCAATTTTTCTCTCTCCCAAAAACTCAACCCCTAAATTCAAATTAAATATGTGAGTTAGCTGTGTTCTAAATTGGATCAGCCCAGAGGTTGTTTCAGGGTTCGATCTGTGAGTAAGCCATGCCCTGACTTAGATCAGCCCAGAGGTTGTTTCAGGGTTCATCTGTGAGTTAGCTGTGTCCTGACCTAGATCAGCCAAGAGGTTGTTTCAGGGTTCAATCAGAGAGCCAATCAGATCGCACAACAATCTCTATATAGATGAGAGTATGTGGACCGCGTGGCACTAATGAAATAGTAGAAGATAATATAGGTAAGTTGTTATCTTCCACTATTTCATTAGTGCCACGCGGTCCACATACTCTCATCTTTGCATCATAATTACTGCGACCTAACATCTATTTCACCCCGGCCTGCTCTCAGTCTGACCTCTAGCTCAGCTGGTAGAGCATCGGTAGTACAATTCCGAAGGTCGTGGGTTCGAATCCCAGCGAGGTCGGAAATTAATTTTTCCGAATTTAATTCCAAGGGCTTCCGCCCAGAATAACCTCGTTCCCAAGCACTACAGTCTCTATATAGACCAGCTAACCATATAATAATCAAGTTCATTGCTGTGTTTCAATCAGCTGATAAATGTGCTCAATTGCTGACCACCACGAGCTGTCAACCAGAAAGAATTCTATTGAAAACTTGTGATTCAGCTGATGAACATTCTACAGAAAACAGGAAATAACTTCAAGTGAAACGCAGCAATATTCCTTGAGTCATAAACATTTTGAACCATTATCAATCAATAATGCACGTATGATAATTATTACAGATAACAGTATACACCATAATGTGATTTAATATTGTAATAAATCCTAAAAATTGAACAACACTTGATTAGTTCGTGGTCACTAATCTCGTTTGAAAACGCCCCCATGCAAAGTTGCAAGCATACTACGAATTACAAACTCTCCGGTCTTTATTTAAAATTTCCCGAATTACTGAAAAATTATCAAAGTTTATGCATTAATAGTAGCGACATAAATAAGTACAAAGAGATTTATTCACGACTTGCTGAGAAAAAATGCGTTCAGACATGAATCAGAAATATCACGTAGCAAAATAAAATGGCTTCCTTCTTGAACAAAATGCATAACAAAAAAATGATTTATAAACATTATCAACACACAAAACGTCTGAAAATAAAAACAAAAACAGCTCATAAACACCTTAAAGAAGCATTAAACGTTAATATTTAGAGATTTTGATAAAAAATCAATTGATTCTTTTTTTAGTTTTTCTGTGAATTGTTGGATCGAAAGTAAAACAGCTGTATGTATTAAAATTTCGGTACTTTGGAAAAACGTTTGTTTTTAAGCCCTCTTAGTTCACAGATTGACGAAATAAATTACATTGTTATCCTTCTGTTATGTGGCTTACGTTAGGGAGTAATCATAGTTATAAGGAATTATTGCTTTGCTCACCTATCCAGCACTCCATCCTTGCACATGGATTTGTTTTGATGACATCGGGTGGATCGACACCAACGTTCAAAGACAGCACCAAAGCAACACTCACTGTCTTCATCTGCCAAATAATCAATCAAGACATCTTCAATACGCATTCTACTTCGTATTTTAGCTATTAAGGAGTCCTAGAAGTGAATTTTTACCCGCTCTTTCATCCGCCATGTGTGAGCTAAATCCTTCGTTCCAGAGATGGATTCCTTGTGTCGTTTTTTCATAAAACACAGAGGCAGTTGCCAGTCGATTATCTCCCCTTCATCTTCATCACAAACTCCTTCTTCATGATCCAACTCTTCTAAGGGACTTACAGAAGCCATTTTGGTTGTCTACATTATGATCAACGAACAAAATCCACTGAAAAATGCTTGATTTTACCGGCGTGTTTGAGAAAAGTCTAGAGTTCGTAGTAAAACGTGTCTGGATCGAGCTCTACTGCGCATGTCTGTGTTTTTATTTACATCGCGCGTGAACTGCAGCCGCTATTCCGCTCTAAACCAATCAGATCCTCTGTTGGTCACGTGAAAGGTCAATATCTTTATTATTGTTCGGAGCAAAGTCCCTAAAAACGAAAGTGCACGAATAGCCCAGAGCAGTATTACGAAATTCGTATTACCACGTGAGTTGAGCGTGAATGACTAACAAATAGGCTATGAAACACTGAAACAAAACAGCCTCTTGGCTGATCAAAGACACCGTTCATTTTTTACCGAAAAGGTGAGGGGGAAAGGGGAAGGGGGAGGGGGAGCGAGGGAGGGG